ACAGGATTAGAAGGAATACCTTCCAATGGGGATAAATGTTCTAGTGACAACGTGTCTCTTTCACAGAAAATAAAGAGAAAGCTGCCCTATGACAATACAGATCACAATAAAAATTTAAAATAGGGAAATTGGTATATCCTCATCAATTGGTCTATCCAGAATTTTTGAAAATAGATACAGTACAACAATGACTATGAGATAGTGTCCTTTTCAAAATAGAACTATATAATCTATAAATACATTTGGTGATAAACAATCTAAAAAATACATTTCATTGTCACAAAACTAAAAGTTGAGCTCTCAAAGAGAGTCTGAAATATTAATAGCTAAAACATATACCATGATTTTCCACTTAAATCCTTACATACACTGACCAGCATACGATGTAAAAAAAAAAGCAACAGGATACTCTAATGCATGCTGTGGGGTTGATTTACTAAAACTAGAGAGTGCAAAATCTGATGCAACTGTGCAGAGAAACCAATCAGTTATCGTCAACGTTTAATTAAACAAGCTGAAGTCAGAAACTGGTTACCATGCACAGCTGCACCAGATTTTGAGGGCACCAGTTTTGGTAAATCAAGCCCTGTATGTTGCACGGAAAAAAAAACACAGTTTTACATCAACCTCTGCATGTTTGGCATAAAATACAAAAAGTGGCAGTTTTTCTGTATTATATCATTTTTTATACTTAGTCCTCATGCACACTTGACATTTTTACAGCTGCTGTTTTTGGCTATTGACATTTTTTTTCTACAGATAGTAACCCCCCAGCACGTTATCCTATGTGTCCATGCACACATCGACTGTAATCAATGTTTTTTGGCTGGAGAAAAAAAACAGGACTAGTGGGTTTCTAGAAGAGTTTTTTAGCTCTAAAAACTCTCTAATGCTGAAAAACATGGCAAAACGCAGTAAAACACTGCAAACCAGCATTTTTGGACTTTTTTTGACCAAAAAAAAAAAAATATTTTTTTTGGCCAAAAAACCTGCTAAAATGCAAACGTGGAAAACGCCTCTAAACACTAATGCAAAAACGCTAAAAAAGCTGAAAAACTCACATTTTTAACGTGACTTTACACAGCTAACGTTACCAGCGTTATCAAAACGTTCAGTGTGCATGAGGACTTAAAGTGGAACTTCACTCTCTCAATCAACATTGACTATTTTTAATCCTTATGCTGCTAACATTATTAAATACATAGGAAAGTATATCATATTTACTTGTCTCAATTTTTTTTTACATTTAATCAGTTACTTCCTGGTTTCCATGCCTAGGCAAATTATGTCATACATCCCAGGAGTCTTCAGGAGAGGAGGAGGAGTTTTCTCAGCTAAGCACACCCTCCTGCCCGCATGCCTGAGCTGAGGGCAGATGGATTACAGTAAATGCTGCATGAATAATCTGCCTTTACTCAAGATGGCCATGGTCAGAAATGCTAGGGAGCTCTCGGCAAAATAAAGCATGAAAACTTGGATGGGTGGGGGAGTTTGTCCCATCGTTTATGGAAGGGGGTTATACATTATAGATAAAGTTACCACTTCTAGGTTGCAGAAAGATAACTGTTGGCAAAGCAGCCTGTATAGAAAATTGAGATCAGGAAAGTCTCGGTTATGTTTATTTTGACTCCCCTAAATATAATTTATTTATTTCAGGTACTTATATAGCACTGTCAATTTACGCAGCGCTTTACACATATATATTGAACATTCACATCAGTCCCTAACCCTCAAGGGGTGTGCAATCTAAGGTTCCTAACTCACTTTCCTACATACACTTATTAGGGCCAATTTAGACAGGAGTCAATTAACCTACCAGCATGTCTTTGTAGTGTGGGAGGAAACTGGAGCACCTGGAGGAAACCCACGCAAGCACAGGGAGAACATGTAAACTCCATGCAGGAGGCACCATGGTCAGGAATCGAACCCATGGCCCATTTACTGCAAGGCAGACATGCTAACCACTAAGCCACTGTGCCGCCCCATATAATAGTGTATATCCTGCATCTCTCTGGAATGATATGTATGTAATGACTGTATATGGTATTTCTTTTGCAGATGATAAAGTGCACCCTTAAATAGAAACAAAAATATGAATTTCTGTGCCCTCAACACTCTATCCAGATCTAAAAAAATAACTTTTGGCTGTAGTTCTGCTTAAAGTGTAAATGCACATGCTTTCCACCTATTCCTAACACGTGTTCTAACACTAACACTTAATGTAACTGTAAAGGTTTTTTTTTTATTAACCACATTCCCGCTGCCCTATAGCAGATATACTGCTACAAGGCAGCAAGGGTGCACAAAATCACGTATATTTGTTTTTGATTTTGTATTTCCAGGTAGGGGAGCGCACGTGAGCCACGTGCTTGCCCTACCCATGCTGCCATTCGCGGCCGCGGCTGTCAATCACCGGGTCCCGGCCGGTGATTACTCTCCGGTGATTGCCAAGCATCTCCGATGGGGGGGGGGGGAGAACTGTTTGTAAACTAAACAGTTCTCCTACCTGTCAGCTCATGCACACTGCTTTGCATGGCTGTGCTATTCACAGCCATGCAAAGCAGTGTGCTTACAGTGAACCACAAACATACAGCCCCTAGTAAAACAGCACACAGTTAACCGTTTGAACGCCAGTTCCATTAGCACAGTTCAGTGCTTTTTTTAGCACTGATCACTGTAATGGTGTCACTGAGGATGTTAGTGACACCAAGTCAGTTCCCCTCAGTGTCAGTAGTGCCGGCATTACTAGTAAAAATAAAAAAAATCCCAGTATATATACTGCCATTTGTAAACGCTATAACTTTCATGTAAACCAACTAATTTACACGTATTGGGATTTTTTTTAGCAAAGACATGTAGCAGAATACATGTTGACCTAAATTTATGGCAAAATTTGATCTTTTATTTTTTTTTACTGAACATGTTTAATAACAAAAAGTCAAAAATAATGTTTTTTTCTCAAAATTGTCAGTTTTTTTTTTATAGCGCAAAAAATGCAAAATGCACAGGCGATGAAATACCAACAAAAGAAAGCTCTATTTGTGGAAGAAAAAGGACGTAAACTTCATTTGGGTGCAGTGTTGCATGACCGCATAATTGTCAGTTAAAGTAACGCAGCGCCGTAATGCAAAAAATGGCCTGGTCATCCTCAGAAGGGTAATAACAAACATGGTATTGCTTACCTGCTCTGTGCAATGGTTTTGCACAGAACATCCCCGGGTAACCCACTGGAGCTCCTGGCTCTTCCTGCCATCACGGTGCTATGGGAGCACTTGTGCAGGCTTGATCCCGAGCCGCATTTTGTGCATCTATTGACACTCACATTAAGACTCGGCCCTAATGTCCATGTTTTCACTGGATTTGATTGACAGCAGCAGGAGCCAATGGCTCCCAGTGATTCCAATGAGGAGGGGGAGCGAGATCAGAGCCGCTGCTCTTGGGCACAGTGCTGGATCAAGATCAGGCTCAAGTAAGTAATTGGGGGGGGGGAGGCTGGAGGGCGTGTAAATGGCTTTCTTATCTTAATGCAGAGAATTTTAAAAATTGAAGTCTGTACAACCGCTTTAACTTAGGTAAAAGATCCTTAATGCTTAATGTACCTTAATACCTTAGCAAATAATGTTTAACTTTCTGTAAAGTGGTTGTAAAGGCAGAAGGTTTTTTCTAAAGCAAATATATATATATACTGTATATATATATATATATATATATATATATATATATATATATATATATATGGCTTTTCATAAAGCCTGACCTACATTGCAGTTTTGTACTGTATTGGCACCTGGTCCCCTGAGCTATGATGCATTGTCTCTATACCTGCACACCATGCTACATGGCAGGTCTCATAAATTTTATATCTATAGATGTAAGTAGTGTCAAAGCCAGCCACATGGAGCAAAATTAAAACACTAACAAATATTTGCAAAGGTACATGACTGTTTACACAGAATTTCAATTGCATAGGCATTTTTTGGTTGTAAATTGAGAATCCTTGCATACATACCATCATGATTCATTTTCATATTTGTGTACCTATAAAAATTAACTTATCTCCAATAAGAGATTTTTTTTTTGTATAATAAATAACTTTCAATTCACAAAAGCATAGTACATAAGACATTATAGTTCAATACACGATATGCTGATTTTAACACCCAGGTTTATTTTTAATTTCACTAAAGGGATACTGTATTATTCAGAATAAATTTAAAGCTTGACTAAGATAATTTACTATTTGTATGTTCTTTTATCAAAGATTTTGAAATTATTCAGACGATATAAATAAAACAAAATAGACCCACAATAAGAGCAGTGAGTAGCTGTTTATTAGCAGTGGTAGGAAGCACATGTGAATGGTTACCTGTTTGTATTGTCTAATAGTTAAGTAAGAGGTTCTGCTGGATGTTTTTCTACCTTTTGTGTGCTACTTTTTGTCAGTCTGTTTTTAATTGTATATAATCTTGGTAGAACTGGCATGGAATATATGAAATTAAATGTGAACTCCAGGCACAACTTTCATTTAACCTGGCGGTATGATTATTTCAGCTTTTTGGTGCTGAAAGCGGTACCATTATTTTGCATGGAAATATGTAGTTTTTTTATTGAGGCTTTAATATTTAGAAATAACTCACTGAAATCTGTCTGAACAAGAGTCTAGTAAACATCCCGGGTATGAAAAAATTTAAAACGCAAAATCATAAATTATAATTTAATAAATAATCATAAAAAATAATAATATAATAATAATACATTTAATTCAATAATATAATCAAACCAAAAACACTGAAATTTGAAATAGAGCGCCAAGTTCACACATCACTGAGCAAAGTCGCAAAATCGTTTTCAGTGTCTGATGACGAATTTCCCCACGAATCATTATCACTCAATTCTACAAGTGGTTCTGATTTACTATCACTGTTCTCTTGCTGGTCTAAAACCACTTTTGACCTAAAGGGATGCTTTTTGGACGCCATGGACTTTTCTAAGTTTCCAGGCAGAAAGAACAGTCAAAATGCAGACAGGGCACAGGACAAAGCACTAGGGACAAAATGTATGTGAAATGGTTTGAAAAAGCAATATTTTACTATGTAAAATTCGTTTTGAAAAAAATTAAATTTTTTTTAAATTTTCAAATTTCCCGCCGCCGCCCATACGTCCCGACGTCACAGGGACCGGAACACAGAAGCCGGCATCAGCCGGAGGAGATGGCCGGGGACGCTGCAGGGGACACATCACAGGAGCGAAGGACAAGGTAAGCTCTGCAGGGAATCCCTATGCAGCACCGCATGGTAAGCCCGAGTGTAGCTCAGGGTTACCGCTTTTGGTACAGAAACTTTACCCCGAGCTACACTCGGGAATACCACCAGGGAGGTTAAATATAGCCCTTAATTGCCTTTCCATTTTGTATGCACCAAATATCTTTGCAAACCCAGTTATTGCCTTGTAAAAGTAGCAGTGACATCATCACTGTGCAACACATAGGTCAGGGAGCAGAGATGACTGATCATTTTTTTATAGCAAACTCAGGCACAAAGGCAAGGTTTCATGCAAGATTACTGCACAGATCAGGAAGAAAAACACAGAGGATACCAAAATTCAACTAGGAATACACATGCTTCTTATATTTAGACAATGTTTGCTTATCTAGTTGGCAACTCACAGTTCCTGTCAGGCATTTAAAAAATCTGAAACGTAAAACTAAAATGCCTGGCACACAACACATATGGTCTTCAGCTTAAAGAGATAAAAATACTACAACAGTTAAATCAGCAGAAAAGGCAACAATTCCACATCAGTGCCATATTAATAGTGAAAATAATATTGAAATAAAGTAGCAGCCACAAGCAAAATAACTCCTGTGGCTTTGAGAATTGAGGCTGTAGACTGCTAAAATAAACTAGGACCCCTGTGTGATTTTGTTTTATGTCAGCAGCGTTGAATGGACATAATTGTTATCACTTGTATCATATAGAAATGCTTGATCATTTCACATATTTTTGAACTGTGAAGAAACAAAAGTATTATTTCTGGGTTATACTTAGTGAAACCATTTCTAATTCTGGATAATAGTTATTAAATTAAATATTATTAATACTTTTTTTAAAAGTCAATTTGAGCATACTTATTTGATCGATGCAAATATTCAGAAAACATGCTAAATTAAAGCAACCTCACCATTCTAAGTAAAAAAAAAAAGGATAAAATACAACAAAAACAAGACTCAAAAAAGAAACAAAGGACAGTATAATCTTGATGAGTGAAATGTACAACATGCACAGAGCTAATTTGTCTACCAGCATCTTTAAGGTTGAGTTTGACTGTCATTTTTATGCACCTCCATGATGGTTACAAATGTGACAGTGGAAATCTTCAAAGGACAACACAGATAAATTGTTTTCTACTCAGCACCAAGACGACTTGCTTCTTGCTTTGCTACATTCCTGCTTTTAAGGAAGGAAATGTACATGCTGTTTGCCAGCAGCAGAAAATAACGCAATGCAATCCATTAGATAAACTGTCACATTACGTTCTATTATATCTAATAGGACATGTTTGGTTACATTACTGCACATGTGTCAAACAAACAGACTTTGCTGCTCATGCCGTTACTATCTAGTCCCCTGATATTTAAGGTTTCCCTATTTCTTTGCTTCATATTGTACTAAAAAACATTTTGTATTGCTTATCAGTTGCTGTTTCTAAGCTAAATGATGAAGATTGGGAAGATGAATTAGAGTGATATATACAGTGATATATATACACTATATTGGCAAAAGTATTGGGACACCCCTCCAAACATTGGATTCAGGTGTTTCAATCACCTCTATGGCCACAGGTGTATAAAATCAAGCCCCTAGGCATGCAGACTGCTTCTACAAACATTTGTGAGAGAATGGGTCGCTCTCAGGAGCTCAGTGAATTCAAGTGTAGTACCGTGATAGGTTGTCACCTCTGCAAAAAGTCCATCTGTGAAATGTCGTTGATACTAAATATTCCACAGTCAACTGTTAGTGGAACTATAGCAAAGTTGAATCAACTGGGAACAACAGCAACTCAGCCATGAAGTGGTAGGTCACAGAAAATGACAAAACGGGGTCAGTGCATGCTGAAGCACACAGTGTGCAGAAGTTTCAACTGTCAATAGCTAAAGACCTCCAGACTTCATGTGTCCTTCAGATTAGTGCAACAACAGTGCATAGAGAGCTTCATAGAATGGGTTTCTATTGGCTGAGCAGCTGCATGCAAGCCTTACATCACCAAGTGCAATGCAAAGCGTCGAATGCAGTGGTGTAAAGCATTTCAGCACTGGACTTTATAAAAGTGGAGACGTGTTCTCTGGAGTGACGAATCACGCTTCTCTGTCTGGCATCCAATGGATATGACTGGGTTAGGTAGTTGCCAGGAGAACAGTACTTACCTGACTGCATTGTGCCAAGTGTAAAGTTTGGTGGAGGGGGGATTATGGTGTGGGGTTTTCAGGGGTTGGGTTTGGCCCATTAGTTCCAGTGAAGGGAATTCTTGAGGTATCAGCATACCAAGACATTGTGGACAATTTCATGCTCCCAACTTTGTGGGAACAGTTTGGGGATGGCCCATCCTGTTCCAACATGACTGCACACCAGTGCACACAGCAAGATCCAAGACATGAATGAGCAAGTTTGGGGTGGAGGAACTTGACTAGCCTGCAGAGTCCTGACCTCAACCTGATAGAACACCTTTGGGGTGAATTAGAGCCAGACCTTCTTGCCCGACATCAGTGCTGTGAGGAAGAGGCTAGTCCTCGAGAAGCGCCAGCCTTTTGGATGTCCAAAGTTCCCACTACAGATAGACATGCAGTGTGAATTGGACAGAGATGTTCCTTTATAATGTGCCTTTTATTTATTGATCATTTGTGATTATAATAATTATCATTTACATTCATTAAACATTTTTTAAGGTAATGCACTAGGCTGGTGTGCCCTCTGTTTGTTTTTCTCTATTCAGTACTTTGGACTCCCCCCGTCCTTTGAGGGCAGCAAGGCGTTCATATCGAAAGAACTTCTATATGTAGTCTTAATGACATTGAGCGCAGGAGTAACTGGGTTTTCCACTTCTACACATGACTGACATCAGTGCCTGACCTCACAAATGTGATTCTGGAAGAATGGTCAAATATTCCCATAGACACACTCCTAAACCTTTGTGGACAGCCTTCCCAAAAGTGTTGAAGCTCTTATGGCTGCAAAGGGTGGACCAACTCAATAGTGAACCCTACGGACTAAGACTGGGATGCCATTAAAGTTCATGTGTGTAAAGGCAGGCATCCCAATACTTTTGGCAATATAGTGTATATATATATATATGCTGTATTTATGCTTTTTAGTCCTAAGTACTAAGCTGGTGTCAAAGAGAAAAGGGGCAACACAAATTTCCTTCTTAAAATACAATAAACCAGTCCTGCAAGCTATTTCTCATCAAACCTTGTCAAGGTATTTGCCTTAAAGGATAAGTTCACCTTTGGGAACATCTTACATTTTCCACACGTTTCTAGGGGGGAACATATAACATGTTCACATTGCTGCAGTCTCTCACCCAATTCCCATTCTGTGAATGAATCAACTACAAGTACTGCTATCCTTTGCTGCTGTAGGCTTGTAGTTCTCAATTAACTACCATTGCTCTGTTGAGCACTTTGGTAGTTCATTGATTTTTCCTATCAATATGAAAGTGTCTGCTCATTCAATGTACAGACAGACAGCTTACACTGACAGTCTACAGGTGTCCTGCATGGCACCAACAATCTGCTGATCGTTGGTGCAATGTTTTCCAGGCTCCTTAAAAAATAGTAGTAAATGCACATTTTTTTACCTGCAAAAAAAATGCATTTATTATTGTTTTTAATTGTGAAATGGACCTAGTGGTATTTTATGAAGCCATTAATAGAGCTCTAGTGTCCTTATTGCGTATTCAACTACTTCAGTCTTCAGCTCTGCTGAAAGCAGCTCCTTGTCTGCAGAAATCATCATATCACAGTAGAGATTCATCCTTTATCTGATGGCTCAGTACTAGGTTTCTATCAAAGAAAAACCTACAAAGCAAGCTGTTTTTTTTCGCTATCCTATAGTGCTCTGATAATCTTGTGTCTGCTAGTAAATTTGTATTAGTCAAACGAAGTAAAGATAGTGAAAAAATATATTTTAAAATAGATACAATATACAAAAAAACAATTTAAAGCTTATAGACTTAAAAGGAAGAGACATCTCCTCAACAAGACAGAAATTAAAAAATCTCTTGAATGTTCTAATTTTCGATTTATCTAAAACATGAGAAAAAAATAACTGGCTGGATTAAATGTTAGCAGAATTAGATTATTAAAAGATAAATTTCATTCTTATTTAGAACGATTTCTATGAGTTTATATTTGCTTATTGTTTTTTTAAATATTTTTTTTTTACCACATTAAAGTATGATCAAATATGTTTCTATGACTCTAGAAAGCTACTGCTTTATAACTTAGCTTGTGAATGAGTTTATATCAGCATTTATAAAGTTAATTTTAATATACTGTATTTAGGTTTGTGGAATTGTGCCTTAGGCTTCCAAAATTACACCAAAATAAGTTACTGAATCACAATACCATATGCAAAGCAAAATTGACAGTTTTCCCATGGTAATAAAGTCAACTAAATGTTTATTAACAGAAATAGTGCACATTAACTTGGTATTGAATGGTTTAGCCAGAAAAGTTCATCACACTGGTTGTTATTTTTAGAACACTTTGATTACTGGACTCTACTGCTGGAAGAAGCAGCATGGTGGATGTGATGGAAAATGCAAGTAACTAAAGTGAAAAAGTGACTTTTTAAAATCTTGGAAATGGGTAGGAGCAGTGGATGGGGAGGAATAAGAGACTTTTTGGGAGAGCTTTTTTTGTTTGTTTATTCGGTCTGGTTGTTTTTGGGTTTGCTTGTTTTTTGTTCTCAGAGTTGGGCTTTAAAAAAAAATAATGTACACAGTAAATGAATGACATTTAGTTTGCTAAAGCACTGTGAAACGTTTGATAAATTACTATTTCTTTCAATGGAATACTTTTTTTTAATCTTAATTTAATTTAATTAAATTTTTGTTTTTCAATTTAGGCTTTGTGCAGCCAGTTTATGTCTACATATGTTCCAACAACTGCTGTGTTTCATTTCTCAGGGTGACTTTCTTGATGGTGACACCAGTGGACAATGTCTGTGCAATGTGTACAGTACATGCATGGTTGCTTTTATTATTCTTTGTAAAAGCATTGACATGTTGACAACACAGGAGAAGAATTGGGAGACAGGAATGGAGCGTTGTCACCCTATA